TGGACAGAGTCGGCCGCAAAATTTATTTTAGCCACCTAAAAAAAGTGTCCCAGCTAAATAAAATCTATTTCAGTTGAGGTGTACGCTATATTTAGAATATTTTCACAGCTTTACTTTGCCTCTCAGACAGCCCTGTACGAATGGATGCTGAAACAGTTACATCACTCTGAGCTCTCTTCAAAGCCACCAGAGTCAAAACGTTCATTTTACCTCACAGAATAGAGAAGCTGCTGGTCTACCACTGTATGACTTTGGGGGTTTTTAGCATGTCAGTTTTGATTCGTTAGTTCAGATATTCATACAGTAGCAAAGTCAGACAATAGCTATATACATCTGAGATTTGGGAGGCAAAAATCCTGTTTTTGTCAGCAGCTTTGAAGAAAGCTATATAACTGCTCCAGTGCCTCATCGTAAAGGGCTGTCTGACTGCGAGGTACATATTCTAAATGTAGCATGCACTTAAACCAGTACAGATTTCTTCTGCTTGGCTAGCCTATTTTTTGGGTGGCTAAAATACAGACTATAGACTTCTCCAAACTTGGGGCAAACTAACCATCATCTGCTGCTGGAAACACACTGACTACTGCTCAGTATCTCATACAACCTTGCTTCAAAGAAACCAAAGCCTCTCTTTAAAACCTCACGTACTCGTTATTCAAAATCTGTCTCTCTCGTGCTGCGTACCTGTTGGTGCTTCTCAAACTCTAGCTTGATGGGCGACTTGATGCAGTTGCAGGTGTCTTGATAGGTCTGCTTGAGTGCCAAGTCCATCAGATGCTTGTGATAGGCCCCGGCCAGGTTACCACAGGTGAAGATGATTACATTGGCTAGGATCTGCCACGTGCACACACACACATACATGCAACGAATAAGCCATTAAAAGGGCATTCGGAAGTGGGGCGTGTTACAGATATGAACCTGTAATTTCCCCCCGCCATACGACCGTCCACTTAAGCCCACACTATTACCTTGTAAAACCAGGCACACAGCTCCACAGTGCTTTCCACCTGTGTCAACCTCAAGCTCTTTAAAATGTGGAGCTGCATATCAATAGGTTGTCCTTGGTGCTGTAACCAAGGACAATGAGTGTCTTGGAGCATGTTTTATTGTTGGTGTACTTTTCCACTGTGCATGTGTGTGTGTGTGTGAGAAAGAGCAGAGACGACAGTGATTAGAGCGTTATCAGTGTGTTTACTTTGATGGTTGATTAGAAGGAGAGAGTATGTGTGTGTGTGTGTGTGTGTGTGTGTGTGTGTGTGTCAGCCTCAGAAGTGAATGAGATGCAAAATACATTCTACTTCACTGTGTAATATTTGGCATGTTTCTCCATTTTCATTGAGGTTTACAGATTGTATTTTTATCTCATTCATCTGTGGTGAGACTTTTTTTTTTGTTGTTACTGTATCAAGAGTCCACTCAGTTCGAGCCAGTTTTTAAGAGCTGCTCCATGAGTACATTAAAAGGCAGTTCATATTACTCTAGGGGTCTGCTGAATGCGCTGTGTCACAACAACACAGGACAGGTTCGCTCTTTTACAGCCCAGGCCTTATTAAAACGTTGTACCTCACCATTTTTAATCGTGCATGGAACAGCCTTATGAATGTGAGAAACTAACTCTAAATAGTGCAGAAGTGCATTTATTAAGACATTCAGAAGACCAAGGCAGGAAGTGCTGTGAAATGTATGTTTCTGGTTAAACTGTATGTTCCGAGGTCTGAGGCTGGACAAATATCTGTCTTACCTGCCAGATGAGAGGTTCCAGTTCTGTCACAGTTGAGGTCAGACAGATGCTGAGGGTGACAGTGTGTGAGAAACAGGTGATGCCGCTGGCGATAATGGCCCCTCTCATGGAGAAGGGCAGCATGGTGTAAACAACAAACACGATGAAGAGGAAGAAGGACACCTGGAAAAACAAAACAAGAAGATGTCAACAGTTTACAGGTCTAACATTGTCTGAAATAAACTAGATATATTCTTTGTGATCCGATTTATGCCTCTATATATATATATATATATACATCCATCCATCCATCCATTATCTATACACCGCTTAATCCTCACTAGGGTCGCTGGGGGCTGGAGCCTATCTCAGCTGACTTAGGGTGAAGGCAGGGGACACCCTGGACAGGTCACCAGTCTATCACAGGGCTACACTTAGAGACAGACAACCAAGCACACTCACATTCACACCTACGGACAATTTAGAACAGGGGTGTCGAATCCTGGTCCTCGAGGGCCGCAATCCTGCAAGTTTTAGATGTTTCCCTCTTCCAACACACCTGATTCAAATGATCAGCATCGTTATCAGGCTGCTGCAGAGCTTGATGATGAGCTGATCATTTGAATCAGGTGTGTTGGAAGAGAGAAACATCTAAAACATGCAGGATTGCGGCCCTCGAGGACCAGAGTTTGACACCCCTGATTTAGAATCACCAATTAACCTCAACATGTTTTTGGACTGTGGGAGGAAGCCGGAGAACCCGGAGAGAACCCACGCTGCACGGGGAGAACATGCAAACTCCACGCAGAAAGATTCCGGTGCCCCCACCGGGACGCAAACCGGCAACCTTCTTGCTGCGAGGCAACAGTGCTACCAACTGCGCCACCTTGCATATACATAATAATTTAACTACTCTTTGAGAGAAGGACAAAAACTTGCCTCAAATATTCCTCAAATTTACAGAACTGCCAGCATACTTTGGATATTTACTGAATTGAGGTTTTTGCTGATACGCATGTTCATAGAAGTTGCAAGTTCCACCAAAAACAGCAACAGTAGTTCTAAATAAATATTACAAAAATGCCTGTGAATGAATCCCACCAGGGATTTGTGTTGTGTTTTCCCTCTTTGTCTACTGTTTGTCTAAATACAGAACACAGCTGAGTGGGTTGCCAGCTTCTTCACACAAAGATCCAATGATAAACTGCTGATTCTGTGATAAATTACAAGAGAAGAGTGGGCCGCTCACTTAGTTTTATAACCATCCTGTGATAAACTGAGATGAAAACAAGAATAGAGCACACGGAAGCATGACAAAGACAAAATGACTGCTGAAGTATTTCCTTACATATGGGAATGAAACAGTAGTCGGGCTCGGTGGAAACTATTTCTAAGGAGTTTGCTGCTTGTTTACTGGGACCAGCTCTCTCTATTTCCAGGTTTAGATCAAATCCTGAATGTGTGTTTCTGTGCGGTGTGCGCATGTATTGATGTGTGTTTCTCACATCACGTTGCTCATTGATACCTTGTGCCTTAACCTCCTGCCTTGTCCCTGTCCACTTCCTCTGTTGTCAGTCCACCCCTTCCTGTTATGGGGACCGCGGTGGCGACCAGCAGGATCAGGTCACAGTTCCAACTGGGACACCAGATGAACTCTGACCTTCCTGCCTGTCTGTTTATTTCCTATGTCTCTCAGGTTCTGAGAGTCGGTCGGGGCAAACAGGAATCGACTGAGAGTGACGGCTTTGAGTAAATCATTTCCCCTGAAAACAAACTCTTCTTAGATTGTCTCTCATGGGATTATACAGATAAACTTTAAATAACACAAGATTTAAATACACGTTGTCCTACATTCCCTACTGCCTTTCAAAAAGTACAAGCTGGGAAGACACTCGTCAGCAGTGTAGATATCATTTGCAGCGACAGATCACAAACATAATATCACTTCCATCACTGACACGTGGTGCTTTGTCGAGCAAAATCAACACCAGAACACTGGATATAAGTGATTGGTTGACCGAGTTTCTTCTGAAAGACGACCTAAGAACACAAAGAGTTGTTTTGTGTAGGCTTAGACCTTCTGTTGCTAAGGGAACCAACAACGGGAAGGATGCTGACGTCGTAGCAGATGTGATGCTTTAAAGGTCCTGAATATTTCTGCCACAACCTTCAACTCGTGACCCTGAACTCCCACCTCCGAAACAAAAACGAGGGGACTTTGAGTGTGTGACGTCCAGTCTGTTTGGGTGGCTGTGAGGAATTGAGAATGGCAGTTCAATTTCAGGTGCGTCACCTGCTTCTGTCTGCTACGCAGGCAGCCAGACACACTCCATCTCCACCGCACTCCAGCCTGAATCCTAATACAGCCTCAAACACTTGGAGATGGGAGCTGCAGCCATCATCTCACTTCAGCTCCTTCGATTACTTTTTTTTCTCTCTCTCTCTTGTTCCGAGCGCACAACTCTCTTCTGTGTTTCAGACGAAAGCAGCAACACGCTCGCTTGCCTCCTAACGCAAATACACACAGACGCACAAATGACTACGCTCGAATACTTACATCAACAATGTTTTGCTCTCCACTCACTTCAGCATTTATGAGCCTAAGCAGCTCAGCAACATTTTTGGAAGCAAGCACCCACGTTTTTTTTTTCTTTGGTTGTTTGGTTATTTTTCTTCGCAAGTATGTTCTAACACACACACATGCACACAGACTCACACACACAGGTAAGTGTGTCTTGATTCCAGGGTACCAGGTGTGACGGCCATGTTCAATCTGCCTTCTGGAAAGAGCTGCGGCCTTCAGTGAAATCTAATGAAGCCCAGACTAACGGGGTAATGCAGCTAGATGGGGGCAGATATGGCTTGTGCTGTGTGTCTACGAGATGTGTGCACGCAGGAAGACGGTGAGCAGGTGAGCACGGAGGAGGGCGGATGGGGTGGAGGGGTTAAAAATGAATGGTTGAAGAGAGAACCAGCCTATCTCTACCTCTCTCTTTTTTCTGGCCTCCCCTCACCTTTTCTCTCTCTTTTGTCAGGCCCTCACTGTTATTAGCTCTGTGTGCTCCATCAGACATGCTGTTCTCTCAGTAATCACAATCAATCCAACCCACCGAGAGTCGGCTGCAGCTCCAACTGTTCTCTTTTTACCGGATTTCTGCTCGCAGGCAAGTTTCTTTCTTCCTTGCTTGTTTTTTTAAAAATTCTTTTCAGGAGGACAGAAAAGCAAAGGTGCAGATAGATAGATAGATAGATAGATAGATAGATAGATAGATAGATAGATGGATAGATGCGTAAGTGGAAGAGTCATGGGAGCAGAATAGAGTGATTAATAATGCAGAATGATTATGCTCTCACAGGTGGCTGATGATAAAAATATCTCCCCCCCCCAAAGGAGGAAAAGAAGGTAAGAGAGAGGAAATTTGGGCATGGTGGGGTGAGGTGGAGAGTGGGTGGCGGTGTCTTAACAGGAGAAAAGGAGGCAGGTGGAGAAGCTGAGGGGGAGAAAAAAATGGGATTTGATGAATCGGGGGAGACAGGACGCAAGCATGAGAAAATAGGATTCCAGAGACGGAGCCTGGCGCTGAAAACCAATGTGTCTGTCTGCCGATCTGCTCATCTCCAGCTTTCATCAGGCCTCATTAACACCTGGAATTAATACTGCACTCACACACCATCATGTATGCATATAAAAAGACACGTCTGAACTGACAAACAGATGTGCGTCACATATTAAGCACACACGTGTACTCAAAAAAAAAAAAAAAACCTCATGAGTGTTTATGCACGTGTCAAAAGGCGGGCTTTAATTATGAGGTTTGATTATTCCCAGTCACATACTCATTTACTGTTTGCATCAGAGTGTCCTTTACCCGACAGAGTCTAATGAAAAGATGCAACTGCTCGCATTCTGCAGGGTCTGACATTTTTAGTTATCGACTAAGAATGAGGTCAGAAGAGTCTTTGCTGCTTTCATGTGGATCACTATATTATATCCTATGAGTCCATAAGCGTTGATGTTTTTGGTATCATAACATAGTGCTGGATTACACCTTTAAATTACTGTTGCTGTGAGTTTAACTTTATTTAGTTGAGTAACGTTTGCTTCACTTCCCTATGTAGGGCATATGTCTCTAATTGCTGACTGACTGTACACTCACCCATCATACCGTATCAACTGTAGGGAGGCACAACACGCCTGTCAAGCTGGATTTCTCCAAATCTTATGTGCACTGGAAAGACACATACTTCATGTACAGAGTTTCAATAATGATCTCTTTCTTACC